ACTTACTTCAGGTGAATCATCTTTAAAAGTAAATTAACTCAACAATTACGTAATGAAACATTTAATTTTCTTGACCCATTACTGGATATATTCATAGGTTCTTTTTTTTATTACATAATGAGTTTAGCGGACTTTGGCAAAACCGAATGCTGCTGTGATGCACGTCAGATCATTGATTTTAAACCTCTAAAAACAATGTACACAACAAAAATAAAACCTTATTTTCTTATATGCAATATTGTTTAATTATGGTATAATTATTATACCTGCCTACGGTGGTTATTTTTGCAAGAATTTGGAAAAGGTTGCTGCTAGTACTCGATTTTCCGCCGCACGCGACCTTCTTTTGTTTTTATAACAAGTTCCTGAATTTTTTTTTGCGTCTTTCAGACATTTTATACTTCTAATTATCAAACTACCTTAGCAATGCACTGATTTTACAAGCCCAATCGTGATATAATATTTGTTAATTATTAATTGTCAATTGTCAAACAAAAGTATAGAAAACTACAGGATGTGATTTGTATATAAACTTTTTTTTTTGATTGAAGAAACGAATGAAAGAAAGCGCCTCTTTCAAATCTTTGTAACAAAGATATTAAATTATCTAAACTGCATTTCTCGAGCGTAATTCTTAATTCTTGATTATCATTAACAAATCGTAAAAATGCCGCCCCCCCATTATGCCGCTCTGGGCCGTTGCCCGGTTCGCCCGTACCTCGGGCCGGCCCTGGGCACCCGAAGTTGAATATTATTTAGGAATTCGCCAATTTCCTCATCATCCTCACTAACTACCTCAAACATATCCATTGGTTTATTGTAACAGCAGATTAGAGAAAAATTAGGTTATGTCAAGTTGAACTTCGTTTAAACGGCCAACAGTGACAGTTCATCTTTTGATTTAGTTTAATTCAAGCTTGAACTTTGATTGAAAAACGGCATATTTTGTTTGAACCAAGTTCAAATGCTGAACCAAGTTTAAACTATGATTGAAAAACCGGCCCTAAGTCAAACTTTATTTTAAGGTAAATTAAGCGCCAGCAAATCTGGTGGGCTCTTTGAATTCGATCCAATTGAACTAAACAAGGGCCGTACACTCCATCACAGTTGCTGAGTGCTAACGAAACATCAAAAAACTTTTAGTATGGGTTTATATTATTATTTTTAAATTTAAATGCGGCGATTTAAAGCACTTGGTTATGTGAAAACCTTAGGTTATTATTAAGTCACAAACCAAGGTGTAATCTATTATTTTGAAAGGAAATATTAATGTTGTTTTCAATTTTGAGTATGATATTTTCAAATATACATAATTTAGAAGGATTAATTTAGAGTTTTTTTTTTTAATTTCAATCAAATTGCACATATCACTATTTATAGTCTCAAAACTTGCTCTCTTAAAATGAAATAGTCAAAATTCTACTATTTGCATTAGCACTGGCATTGTTTACTAATAAACTAGTCGTTTTCACTTTTAAAAAGTTATTTTTTAATACTAATTTAAGATAAGTCACCATCTTTGACAGTAACTAATTTCTTTAATCCTTTTTAATACTTGCGGCCAACAACAAATTATTGTTAAATCCATATAGGCTTCATGGTTAAATGGCCCTTAAAACAAACAAAGATGCAAAAAGTTTAGCTCAAAACAGCAACACAAAAAAGATATTTAGCTTTAATAATATAACAACATTTATAGACAAATAAAACTAATTCTTATAAAAATGACAGTGGAGCACCGGTTCGACATCCGCTTGACAATAAAAAGACCCGGATCAATACTTTTTTAAATTTAAATCTACTAATTTAACTATTTCAATCAGTGGAATTTGAATTATAAGTTTTTGTTATGGCAATTAGTTAAATATTACTTATAACTAGTTAATTTTGACTAGTTCATTTTAAGAGAGTAATCAACTTGCAAGGGATAAAACGAATATTAAAATAACACATCTAAAGCTGTGTGACCTCATGAGTTGCCACATCTGAAATATGGCGAAGAAAAGAAAACAAAATTTAGTGATTGATGGTAACAAAAACCTAAGAGTAGTCCAATATAATAATTATTAAATTTGACTAATATTAATATTATTGCTAATGTTTTTCCCTTATCATATGTTTTAAAAGTGCTGTGGTTCAACTATAACCTTTTCCAAAGCCAGACTGAGTGGCGGGTAGTAAGTTTAATATTTTTTTAAATGAAAGATCGTGATTTTTTCGAGAACTTTTATAACACAGGAAAAAGAGATAGGACGCAACTCCAGTTAAATGTGGCTTTTTGGATGGTGGCAAAACTTTCCATTCTTCTGGAAAATCGGAATTTAAAAAACAGGCCTTTATTTTTATTTAAATATTTGAAAATTTTCCTTAAATAAAAGTTCAGCAAAACTGGATCAGGTCGAGAGTTACTTAAAAATTGTAAAAAATGATTGTTCTGGGTCGTTAGGAACTTCTGGTAATACATTATTTTTACTTTTTTTGTATATCAAGTTTAGCATAATACTTTAATTTTTAAATGATCCGACGAAATATCCCAGATAATTATTTTTTTCTTCTGTAGTAAAATTTTATGTTTTTTTATAATATTCAGAATAATATTTAAATTTATTTAAGGCACTGTTTAGCTATGTGGAAATAAAAATAACTTTGTTGTAAAGTTTCTCGATATTTATTAAATTTTGACAATTTTTCGCTACACATTAGCTTCTTTAGAATGTATTAAAACTAATACTGAAAGCATTAAGAAATTCCTAATGAGAAAAACATAATGTATTTATTGTTAACAGTTTTATTAGAGGGACAATACAATTCATTATAATTAGAACCAATAAAATGACAGTATTCCATGGTTACGCATTTTATCACAGCCACAATATTTTTTATCACCTTGCTAAGGATTTTAACACTTTTCTTGATTTGACATTTGTTAACATTTAAATACTGTGTTTGTTAAAATAATGAATTATAAACTCTAAAAGATCGATGGGTTGGTGTAAACGATAATAAAATTAAGGTAAGTTTGAATAAATCAGGTTTATTAAAGTCTTTTTATATTTTAAAGCACATTTTAATTTCAAATGTCAAACTGACAATTCGTTAAATCCTAAAATTCATTATATTTTCTCACTAAATAACTCGTGGTATGATTAATTATCGATAATATTTACTCATTGAAACCGAAGCAGCACATTTCACTCGTCCTGCGGACTCGTGAAATCTGCAGCTCGGTTTCAATTCGAAAATATCATCGATGATAATCATACCACTTGTTATATTATGGGTGAAAATATCATCGATGATAATCATACCACTTGTTATATTATGGGTGAAAATATCATCGATGATAATCATACCTTTTGTTATATTATGGGTGACAATATTTTAAATGTGTAATTTTTTATATAATGCTATTGTTGTTTGTTAATAAAATTAAAATAGGTTTAACAGTGGCGATTTATTAGATTCTATTTGTTCATTGAGAATATTATTAGTATTTGTTAATTTTGTGCCTTTGTTTTCTAAATGTAATATTTTATAGTTGTTATCAAAAGTATGGTTTTCTGTAATAAGATGTGTCGCATAAGCTGAATCAAGCTTTTGGTTAATAAATAATCTTTAATTCTACACAGAAAAAACGCTAGCATAGCATGAATGCGTGAGCCATTAAACCAATGGGATCTTGTAATCCGTATTCCTGAATAACAGTTCCTATAATACCAATAGGTAGTTAGCACTTCGTTTATAATCGTTTACTGTTTTTAAATTAACAACAAAAGATATCGCTCCTAAATCTATTGATATTTATTTCATTTTATGTTAGAATGTTATTGCATTCAATACTAATTTGATTTATTTAATAACGTTACCATAGTATGTATACTATGTATACATTTAACGCAATAAATTCTTTGACATTTAGGCAAAATGTTTCCGTATTTTGGTTTAATAGTAATTAATTGAGCAAATAACAATTTAGATTGCTTCAATTTTAATGCATTCAATGACAGCGCTGTCCTTGGTACTATGTTAGATTTTTTATGTGTAGTATTAAAACTACGGCCAGTTTGTCATATATAAGTTTTCGGACAATCGGTACACGTTAATTGGTATACCCCTGACTTCTTATGTCTATTAGACTTATCTTTGTTGTTTTTAATGAAAATACTTAAATTGTTGTTAGTTTTAAACGCGATATTGGTATTAATGTTTTTGAAAAATGTGGAAACATGTCTCATTTGAACCTAAATATGTACATGTAATATGTCATGTATTAAAGGTATTAAATGGGTTTATAAGTGATGGGAAAGTTTGTTTTAGCTATTTTATATTTTTTATTTTTAGAATATCTGCAATTAATTGTGCTTCATATCCATTGTTCAATGCAATTTGTTTTATTAAATTTAATTATTCGTTGAAATGTACATTTGATAAAGGTATGTTTAAAAGTCTATGGATCATTGAATAGAACGCTGCTATTTTTTGGGACCACGAATGCATAGATGCCTTATGATATATTTTAAACTTGTGGCAGCCTTTACTTTTTAGAATAGTGAGATCTAGGAAATTAATTTGTTTATTTTGTTCTACTTCTATTGTAAATTTTATATTAGGATGGATATTATTTATAAAATTATGAAAAATAATTAATTGTCTATTAGTACCTGTGAAGCAAGTAAGAATATCGTCTACATATAAGAAGTTTTTAAAATGTCCACTGTTTTATTAATTTTTTTATATTATTTGTTATCCAGCCTGGCTTGGGTTTTTTATCATAATTCATCAAATATCCTTACTTTTTCATTAATGTTTTGTACGTGTGAGACTCAAAGAACGTGTGGCCTCTTTAAATCATTCACAACGCTATATTTTTTTCAATGCATTTTTAAAAAGACTACATTGCAAAATTCGCATCGTGGCTTTCATGACGTTGGACCACTACGCGTTGTGGTAATTAAGAAAAAACATAAGGCATTCTAAACCTTAATAAATTTAATTCTTACTTGTGTTTCCTGGGACTGTAACATGTTTAACGAAAGCAACATCTCCTCCACTTTCCACCAAACATCTAAAGGCCCCAGTGTAACCGCTGTAACTCTCAGATTGATCAAAGTTACATTTTTTTTTAATATCTTTTTTATCTACGTCTCCACCACACAACGTGCACAATTTTTCTGATACATCTCCCGGCAGTTTAAATCTTGGATCTTTAGATCCTGGTAAGCAACTACCACCACTGAAATAATCGGAAAGTGCTTTGGGATAAGGACATTCATCATTTTTGATTAAATTTAGTTTAAGTAAGGTGTACAAAGGTGCGTTATATCCAGCAGTACGACCCAGACCCGTGTGACAAGATTTTGCTCCTTTAAGATCAGCGAAACTCTTGTAAGAAGAATTTCGTTTAACTACCGCCACGGCATAGTAAGAACCACCGAGAGGTCCATACTGTTCAGCCACAATGGGTTTCAAATTATACTCAGCTTGAGCTTTAGCAACCAATCCGCCATCCAAAGTGATTATATCGGCACCATTATCGCGGATTGTTTTAAGGCAATCAAACACGTCTTTTTCTTCCACGCAGTCGAAGCGTGGACGAACGTTTCTTGAAAACGCTGCCTTACTGAAAGCTTTGCATTTATTTAATTCCCGATCTGAAGTAACACAGAATCTTATAGTTTTAAAAGGAGGACCATAATCCCTTTCCAAAACATCGGTATAGTTAGCTTTATCCAAATAATCCCCAGGTCCAATCACCTTGCTTTCTTTAGGCAAAGTTTTGTCGCTTAATTCAAGGATTTTTTCCAACCACTTGTAATGGTTTTGGCTGCCAACAGAACCTAGGTTTTCGATTTTTTTTCGTAGCTCATCGATGGTTTTTACGACGGCAGAATTAGCCATATATCCTTGCCATGGGCGTGCTGCCCATTTGCATGGATTGCCTGTGACCGGTACGCGAGTACCATCAGGACAAAGGTAGCGATAGTCTTCTGGGTTTTCGTTGGTTTTTTGAGTTGGGGTTACTCCTACAGGAAGCTAAAATAAAATAAATTTTGTTAATTCATAAAAAATTGTAGGTACACAGTATGACTTGAGTCATCATAAGGTACAGATGCACACGCGATCACTTCTAAAGAGTACGGAAGTAATAAAAGCCTTAACAGAATCAGTAAATCGCACAGTGTTAAGTTTATAAGGCAATTTTAAGTGTATACTCCTGTTCAGGTAAAATTATGGTACCTGTCTCCCGAAGTCTTACAGTATCATCAAAGCGCTTATACAGTAGTGCAATGCAATACAACCTCTCTAGAAGTGAATAATGTACAAATCAGTTACACTACCTGTGCTGGTGAATTCAATGTACCTGTCTCCCGAAGGAGCAAAAGAGAGTGTCAAGTGGATCGCAGCAACAAACGATAAGTTAAATTGCTTTAATCCGTATGATTTTATTTGCTTTCTCCACTAATAAAATAAATCTTGTATTTCGTACCAACCCTCTAGAAGAGGTTAAGCCTCATCAACGCATCTAAAACAGGAAAACAAAACAGCCAAACAAGAAAAATAGAATTTCCACAGGACAGCAATCTAGCATAATCTAGCATCAAAACACTAAACAAAAGTCGTCGTGGACGCAATAGATTTTAAAATAAACAAAAAAGTTTAGTCACACAATTAACAATAAACAAGCCAACACATTAGGGAAATACTAGAATAAATCTAAGGTTTACGCACAGTGGGATAATATAATTTGTGTCTATTTCCTTTAACGATTCTCATACAGTAGGTCAATTTGCATATTTTCCTATTAATCAGCCTATAGGCTATAGTAAATAATTACTTAAACGGTTGTATCTCCAATGTAGTCAGTACTTGGAATAACTAGGTGAATCTTCCTTGAAGCCAGCTGCTTATTCTGAATAATCGGACATAAATGGAGAACCTTCTCGAAGTCAGCATAAGGGGAAGAAACAACCTGACAATGAAACGGGGCCTGTATTTCGTAGACGTAGTCCCCTTCATCGAACTAATAACTTTTAACTGCAAACAGAAATCCCATATGTCTATAGTAATATAAACTTCCCGATCTAGGGGGATTCTGTGTCGTACCCAGATTTCGGTCGGCATAATTTCCCCTGAACACTAAAAGGTATATCCTTCCCGTCTCTTCTCCTTGTGATCGTATTGGGGTATAGCAACGGCCCGGCAAAACCGGGAGAGGCTATTTAAACTATTCACATGTCGCTCTCAAGCCCCAAATAGGGTACAGCACCGGACGCGGTTGGCATTCGCACCGAGCAAACACGGAGAAGCCTTGCAGTTGCTGGTGGCAAAAAAAAAATGGCGTAGGGTAACAAAAGCTTGTGCGGGGCTCGGAAGAGATGAGGCAATGGGGCCAGTTATACTACTGAGTCAAGCCACTTCAAGTGGGACCAGAAAATTTCACGAAATCACCGATTTTGAAAATAATCACTTTATTGTGTAGTAGGCATGACGCATATGTCACAGTAAAATATTTGTTTTGAAATTCGGTTTTTTGTTAATGTTATTAAAGTTAATAACTTTGTAAAACTTTGGAGCACGGTAAAATTGAAAAAATAGAATCTCTGGGACCGCTCTGTATAATTGAATTAAATTTTACACACTATTGTAGGAATGTTTAGACTATAGAATGTTCATTTAATTAAGGTAAATTTGATTAAATAAAAGAATTTTGCATACATTTATTATAAACAATTGAAATTTTTATGTTTTCTTCATGCTGAAAAAAAATTAATCTTGTGTCATATGCGGCAAACGTTTAATAAGATGTATTCAAAAATTTGTCTTTCATATGTCATTCCGGAGATATTAAATATTTTGTCCCGCAGTGCGCTTGATCAGTACGCGGCGCGCTTCGCTGCTAGCTCGTCCGTTCTAACGTTTTAACGGAAAGCTGTGCTCACATAAATATGCCGCCAAAAACTGATTGCAGTTTCTTGTTCGGGAGCATTTGGTGACTTAAATAAAAATCCTTGCTGCTTCTCTTTTCGAAATTTTTTGAAAATTCATGATTTTTTTTTAAATTTTCGTTTATCTCAAAGTCTACATTTGACAGAGTACACGTTTGTACACCGATTTTTATAAAATTGGAGTATATTATTAAGAAGACCAAAAATCACTTATGTTTAATAAAGCAAAAGCGCAAATTCATGGTTTTGGCATAACACGCAAAAAAGGTTTATTCCCAATTTTTTTTAGATATTTCTACGTTTATCAGGTTACAAAATGGCATTCTTATTAACGTTTTACAATAAAAATAGATTTTTAATAAAATTAAATAAAATAACGCTTAGAAAATATTTAAAATTTTGTTTAATTTAGACTTTTTAGTAGTTTTCAATTTTCAACGAGACTTAGAGAATACAGGGTTACCAAATATCACTTTTTTATATAGTAAAAAGCATAATGCACAAAAAGAATTCATCTCAAAAATTTAAAACAATCATAAATTTTCAAAAAATTTCGACAAGAGGAGCAGCTAGGATTTTGGTAAATAACATTTTTAAGTCACCAAAGGGTCCCAAACCAGAAACTGCAATCAGTTTTTGGCGGAATTTTTATGTTCGTTTAGGCACTTTACACGCGATCGCTGCGAAAATTGTTTATTGTTTAAAAGTGAATAACTTGTGTTTGGTGTGTCCGATTTTTATGCGGTTTGATGAAGGGTGATCTTCAAGGTATGTAAAATTCAGATTTGTATTTGTTTTTCGTAGATTTTGCTTGTTGTGGGTTATCGTAACCAACAAGATCGGTCTGTTAAAATTGCAAACTTTGAATTGAGCTTTTAAAACAATGGAGCTACAAAAATTGTAATGAATTGTAAGGCATCAGTTCAAGATCCGTTGAATAGCTTAGAGTTTTGTCTATCACGACATCAATAAATTATGTGCCCCAACTTGCCCCTGGCTCTTTAAAACTAAATGTTCTTGGGCGCTCAGGTACGATTGTGGTAAAAAATCTCGGGATTTTAAGCCTATGTCGCGCGCGTATCTGTGTTTTTGCTTTACAAAATATAAGATTTTTTTTTATTTCTGGGTTGCGTTCATGACGTTTACTTGATTCACTCGGATTTAACTCAAAACGTTTATTACAACAGCGGTGTCTATACTTTCACTTCCGTAAATCGTTCGTGTCTACTAAGATATTTAACAATGATTTTACATATTTAACCCACCTCTTGTAGGTGCGTTAAAACAACTCCGCATGCGCATTGTAGTGTGTTAATGTCAAATTTGAATTCTGGTTATTTGTGTTGACAATTTTTTTAGCGAATCCAGTGACGGGGATTGTTTAATAATATCATATAAATGTATACATTTATAATATATAATTATAATTATAATAAACTAAATTAAGCTATTTTAAAAAAAAATCTTTTATTTACATTTTAAAAAGAACCTCTTACGAGTTTTTAATTAATTTTGACAATTTTTTGTTAAAAATGTCCGCTATTTAAGGCCCACCATTTTGAATTTTGGAATTCTGATTTCAGATTCATTATCAGCGACCACAAAAACCCCTCTATGGTGATTTTCATTTTATTCCGTCAATTTTTTGACAAATATGTCCGCCATTTTGGATCTACCATTTTGAATTTTGGAATTCTGATCTTTATACGGATTTTCAGGAGAATCGGAGTACTCCTTTATATTTTGCCGAAAGTTTCGACAATTGAAACACTGTGCAGCGTGACAAAAAATTTAATATATCCGGAATAACATGTAAAAGACAAATTTTAGAGTACATTTTAGTAAACGAAAACGTTTGCCGCATATTATGACACAAGATTAATTTTTTTTCAGCGTGAAGATCACATACAAAATTTCAATTGTTTATAATAAATGTATGCAAAATTCTATAATTAAACCAATTTATCTTAATTAAATGATCATTCTATAGTCTAAACATTGCTACAATAATGTGTAAAATTTAATTCAATTATACAGAGAGGTCCCAGAGATTATATTTTTTCAATTTTACCGTGCTCTAAAGTTTGACAAAATTGTTAACCTTAATAAAATTACAAAAAAAACGAAATTTTTACTGTGACATATGACTCATATGACTCATATATGATATGAGTCACGTCTACTAAACAATAATGTGATTATTTTTTTAATCGGTGTTTTCGTGAAATTTTCTGGTCCCACTTAACGAAATTTTAGGTACATGATTTAATATTTGTATTTTAATACAATTGTAATTAATTTAAAGAAAATGGTTTAGTAAAAAATAAAAAAATAAATAAATAGGTATGTAATTTAATAAAATCTTAAAAATAATATGTTGTTGAGTTTGTGCCAAACATGAAACATTTCTTTGCTTTTGTTAAACTCTTTAACAAAAAGTGTGTATACACAAACATATAGGCACCGACAGACGGCCTGTTTCGGTCTTTAGAACCTCATCAGTAACGGGTGTACAAGTGATGTGTAAGCACTGAAAGACCAAAAAAGGCTGTCTGTCGGTGCCTATGTAGGGTAGCACACTTAAAACAAAACACGATGACTAGGTGAAAGGGCAGTTCTCACAATTTGGGCCTTAAGTATAGAAAAACATTTTTCGTAGTTAAACACTAAGGTAGTTTTTTTAATTAATTTAATTTATGTTTTAGTTTAAATAAAACTGTTTAATGCATGTATATAAGGTATTTACATGTATATAAGACATATACGATGCCAAACCACCCGATAGGGATATTTTTAGTATACAAAATACAAACTCCGACCAATAGTTCTCCAGTTAGTAAGCATCAAAGTTTTAAAAAACTCTGCAAAGCTGTGTAAGTAGAGATGGGGTTTTAGGTTGCAAAATTTATAAAAATACGTACTTTACGAATATAAATACTGGAAAGCAACTTTTAGGTGGTTAAATAATTTAATTTATTATTGTATAAAATTGTATTGAACATGATTTTTAAAAATAACTAACGAAAATATCTTGTAAAAATATTATAATACCATTATAAATTTAAAAATTTTTTAATGCGGCTGCACATTTAAAATGTTTTTGTTAATAAGCATAAAATTCCTCATAAAAAAGCAAACATTTTCAAGAATTTGTGAAAATACATGTGATTTTTAAATAAAACATAATAACATGAGATTGATTGGAAAAACTTGAGATCTCAATGAGATATCTCATGCAAAAGCGTGAGACCTGGCAACATTGTACAGGAATATCACAATTGCGTCGCTGTTCGCGATTCCCAACTCACAACCAACCCACATTACCAATACAACAACAAAAATAACTACATGCGGTAGGGCTTAAGTAATTTAAATGCAAGTTGAAAGCAACTCTAAATTTTCTTGCGTGGTATGTTTTATTTTGTAATTAGAAGTCAAAATATCGTAAAACCAAAATCGCAAATCAGCCTGTTTCTTTTTTTTTAACAAAATTACATTTAAATTTATACACAAAATAATTAAAAAATAAATAAATGTGTGGGTGTGTACGCATTTATATTTTATACATAAAATAATTTATTTTTGCTAACAAAAATAACAAACGACCAAACTATCAGTATAAGTAATACAAATAAACACATCAAAATAAATCAATAAATTATAAATAATCAAACATGTTGACTATCATATTCAGAGGTAGCTCTTAAAAATCTCTCACCAAAATCTGGATGCTTGTTTTTAACTTTGTATTTATTTACTTTGAAATCTGCGTGTACGGACTCCATCGCCTGCTCACTATAATAACCCAACAATACCCAGTAATATTTTTCTTATGTGGTATTAACGTTTTACCAAAACATGAATCAACTACCTTTCCAAATTTAGATAAACAATTTGCGAATGGTAAACAGCCAATATTATAGCTATTTGAGTTTCTCAAAATGTCAACAACTTATCGCATCCATTTCCGTCAAAACCTCGTCCTCTCGATACACCGTATTCTACCGTCCATTTTAGAGCATCATTTAAGTATAGAACTTCTATTTTGTCGAAAATACGCCGCATTCGCATAATTTAACTTTTGAAATCTCACAGGTCATATGACTTCATTTCCGTATCCGGAAAATGTATCGCCAGCAAATTACCGTTAGCAATTTACCGCCAGGTATTTACCCCCAACAGTTTACCGCCTCAACTGTTTATGGCCGCAACAATTTACCGCCAGCTATTTATCGTAGAAACAATTTATCGACAGAAATTCACCGTTAGCAATTTGCCGCCAGGTATTTACCGCCTTAACAGTTTAACGCAGCAACAGTTTACCGCCAGTTAGTTTGTAAACTAACCAACTAATCCTCTCATTTTTGCCCATTTTAGTTGGGTTTTTTGCTCAATGGGGCGGGGGGGGGGCCCAATGGGGCGGGGTCGGTTGGGTTGTGTTGTTGAGTTTTGGTTGGTTTGGGTTTTTTCTCTCATTTTTGACCATTTGACCAATGGGGCAGGGGGGCCAATGGGGCGGGGTCGGTAGGGTTGTGTTGTTGGGTTTTCTAACAAGGAAGCGTTAAAATTGTGCCTATGATTCATTTTAAAAACGTTAAAATGCACCAAACAAATCCGGTTAGCTGGCGGTAAACTGTTGCTGCGTTAAACTGTTGAGGCGGTAAATACCTGGCGGCAAATGGCTAACGGTGAATTTCTGTCGATAAATTGTTTCAACGATAAATAGCTGGCTGTAAACTGTTGCGGCGATAAATTGGTGCGGCTATAAGTTGCTGGCGGTAAATTGCTGGCGGTAAATTGCTGTCGGTAAATTGTTGACGATAAATTTTCCTAGACCCCTTCATTTCATGTGTATTGGCTCCATTTACTGTTTGTTTACATCTAGTATAGAACGATTGTATTAGCTATTTTCGCGAAGCTAATCCCGAACTAATTCCGGACATCCGGCATGCGCTTTTTAAAATTTGGCGTTCAAAATGTAAAGTGCGCATGACAAATATTAAAATGCGCATGCCTAGCATGTCCGAACTAGTTCGGGATTAGCACCGCGAAAACACCTATTATTACGTAAATACGAGAGAATTTTTAAAATTTCTTGAACGAAATTTCTTGTATGAATATTAGTATACTTTGTAGTTATTTTAGCTATTTTGCGGCATTCAAAATAATATTATTTATATTGCAGTACAAAAAACATATACGTACTTATATGGTGTGTGTGTATAGGTACAGTTATTTATTTGAATTATTTTTTATTTACATTTAAATCGGCCATTTTAAGCGTACGGACGGGACAAATCAAAAAACTGTTTTTATAAAAAAAATTGTAGGTAATTTATTATATATATTATTTTTGCCACAAAATTGTCAAATATATTTTTCTTTTATTAGGCTATACATTAAATAAAAAATAGAGATAGGTACCTAATTTCAATAATTGACAGGTGTGGACGGGACAAGATAAATCTTTTTTTTGTCCTGTCCACACCTTTCTTTTATAAAATATTTCTTGCGTTTTTTTATTTAATGTAGGGGAGCGCCGGGAGGGTTTGGACACTGGGAGGCATTGGACACATTCATAATTACCGCCTAATTAAAGAAAGGGTGGAAACAGAAACGTAACTAAAAGCGCATTTGAACGTCCCTGATATCTGTCTAGAAGCGAAGCAATCACGTCTTTTCATTTCGCGGCACTGCCATTTTCCTATTTATCCACGTGTTCATTCCAATATTACCAGTTGTAAACTCTGCTTTTAACAAACTAATTCTGAGATTTTTTGGTTGCTTGATTGATTACCAGTATAAGGAAAACTTTAAAAATTATAGGGTATTGTTACTTTGAAAATGTATATACATAATTTATAATATTTTGGGTTTTATTAATCGAACTACGTTGCGGGAGGGTATGGACGACCGTCCAAAGAAGTCGTTGTAGATAGCTATAACGTGAAATTTAAAAAAAAAACAAGTGGCTTCCAACCACAGCATTTGTGTCATATGAGGAAGTGATTTTGAAACTATCAAATCCTTTAACAGACCGAAGTGTCAGATATGGACATGATATGTATATTTTAATGTTGATGTTACCGAGTACGGCTTACGTTAATGCTAAAGTTATTGATTAATAAACAATTTTTTACTAAATTTTTTATTTGTTTTTAAAGTGTTTTTAGTCAAACAAATGTTTTGCATTGTCCAAACCCTCCCTATCGTTGGGGAGGGTTTGGACATAATACATTAAAAAAATATAAGTATTTATTTCATGCCTATGTCATGTTTTTTCAAAAAACAAAAGAAAACTGTATGTAAGAGACATGTATCAACCAGTCTGACTACAAAATTTTAGTTATTTTTTATACATGTCCACACCATAATTATTTATTTAAATATTGTCCAAACCCTCCCGGCGCTCCCCTATAACCAAAGATTAAATGTACTCTTTATAGTATATATATATTTATATATATATATATACATATATAGTATGTATAGTATATTTGGTATAACCTAATAAGAGAAAAATATTTTTTTTATAAAAACAGTTTTGTAATTCGCGCGTTTCGCGCGCTTGAAATGGCCGTAATGTAAAAAAAATTTGGTTTAAAAAAAAATAAACGGGCTGATTTGCGATTTTGATTTTCCGATATTTTGACTTCTAATAACACAACATACTCGGCAAGAAAATTTAGAGTTGCTTTCAACCTGGATTTAAATTACATAGGCCCTGTGCATCGTGCATAAGAAATATGTCATCTGAATACGACAACTACAATATTACAAAAAGCATGTTAATGATGGTAAAAAACAGTAAGGGAAACAGATGCAGCCCATTCAATTTTATGGGGCCCTTCACTTCACCAATTGATATATTTTGAATCCTGCATTTTGTTTTGCGCTCGTTTAATGTTGTTGCTACTTACACCGAAAAATTTGCGAACATAAATCACTTTAGTCCAAGCCACTTGTCCACCATTATGAGCAAGACAACGTAGAGCACCATCGTATCCAGAGAAATTATCAGGGTAATCGCAAATATCAGGATGTTCACAAAGAGCACACAGATTTGGATAAGTTTTCTCTAAAAAACAAATTTATCAACAATAAATAAATTTTAAAACATAAATAATTTTTTAAATATATTAACTATTTACTTAATCTTAAGTTGATTTTTGGATCAGGTGACCATTTTCCGACGATGCAAGCCTTATTAAAAAGCGTTGAAAAAGCTTTAAGCTCATTTTCTCTCGGGGATAAATCTGGTTCGTTTAATTGACCTATAATTCCCATGTTCTTTAACTTGGTCAGCGGGACTTTATAGCCCACATTACGTCCCACGCCTGTATGACATGAGTTGAGTCCTTTCAAGTCCTTGAGACTGTCTAATTTTAGATCCTTATGAATGATGGCTACTGCTTCGTATCTGAACTCGGCTAAATAAAAAGATTAATCGATTTACCTTGTTTTGATACCAGGGGCGTGCTGGGCCGCCGGGACACCGGGAGAAATCCCGGTGGGCCGGTGGTCCGGAGGGCTAAGTGGGCCGGTGTGCCGGAGGGCTATGTAGGCAGCATGCCGCAGCACGTGGTCAATTAAAAACTTTTTTAGTTGAGTTATGTATAAATATCATAATTATTTTACACATACCATGCATGCCAGCCTGCCAGCTTTGTTTCTTTTTTCGAGATTGTAGGTATATTGTTTATAAGTTTCCTGAGCGATGATAATTTGTATTAGTTTTTATTTTAAGTGCAATACTATATGTTTTAGCATTGTGTAAAATATTGTCTGGTTGTGTTTGTTGTCTGTTTTATTTTAAGAATTTAATTTATACTTTATGTTATAACATATATTAATTATTAGGCCGTGCCTCCAGTGCCGGCAACGGTGCCCGAAAAATAAACGAATGGATGCCGGCGCTGGTTTCCTACTTAATGTTTGCTCCGATGCCGGCAATGGCACCCGAATAATACATTTTTGTATTGCCGGCTAACCTCAAAATGTGTTCGAATAGGTAATTTATAAACATCAATCGCGTAGTTGTAAAAATGAAAGTTGGAGACAAGTTTTCTTCATATGAAGAGTTTAATAGTGCTTTGGAAGTGTACAAGAAAAGTGTTTATAATGAATTTTGGATTCGAGATGCTAGAACAATCGAAAATCAACGAAAACGAGCCCTCGAAAGCGTTAGCAACATTAATGAATCGCTAAAATATTATCATCTGCGGCTAGCATGCGTTAAAGGTGGTAGAGCCTTTAAATCAAAAAATAAAAATTCCAAAAGACAATGTACAACGTATAAAGAAGATTGTAAGGCAACAATATTTGTGCGCGTTAGTAGCTGCAAACAATATCTGTGTGTCCTGGAAATAAAAGACAATCACAATCATACAACTTCTAAAACTTATTTTACAACCCTTTCACAGCAAAGACTACAACTGCCTAAAAGTGTAAAAGATTCTGCAATAGAATCATTAAGAGCTGGTGCAAATAAAAAGATTGTGCTAGATAAATAAGAGCAGAGACCGGCCGCAAGGTTACGCTTAAAGATCTCACTAACATCAGCAGAAGAACAGAAAGAAAAAACTTTCAAGACTGTGTTAACATGCTAAAGGATACATATGACTGCAGTGATATTCAATTGTTAGTGGATGAAGATAAAGTTTTTAAAGGACTGTATTTTCAAGATGAACGAATGAAAACATATTTGACGGCATTTCCAGAAATGCTTTTCATTGATGGTACATATTGCTTGGTTGACCTTAAAACAGCAACATATATAATAATGATAGAAGATGGCTGTGGTTTCAGTGAGATAGTCGCAGTTTGTTTACTGTTGATGAAGATGTTGATGAAGATGAACCGTCTATTAATTTTTTTATAGAAACTTTTAAAAAGCGAAATCCTGTTTGGAAAAAAGTACAAGTTGTTATGTCCGATAAAGATAAAACAGAACGAAAAATATTTAAAAGTCATTTTCCGGATGCAAAATTAATTATATGCCTTTTTCATGTATCCAAATATTTAATAGAGAAATTTCATTTAAAAAAATGGATATAAGCGCAGATGAAGTAAAGATCAGCAAAGAATATTTACAGAAACTTGCAAATTCTTTATCGGAATCTGATTATAGCAAAGTTTACGATGAAATGACAACAAAAGTTCCGAAAATCGTAAAAGAATATTACGATTCTAATTGGGGCTGCATTGTCGATCAATGGGTTCAATATTTAACTCTTCAAAATTTATTTTTTATGAATAAAACAAATAGTCGTTTGGAATCTGTAAATAATAAATTAAAAAGTGTAATCAACCGATACAGTCCATTGGAAGACTTTATAAAACATTTATTTGCTTACATAAACAGTTGGGAAGGACGTAAAGAACTCTCAGATGCTAAATAGAAAGTTGGCAAAACCATGTGTAAAAGACTCTCCTGAATATTTATATCGGGAACATTTGACAACATTTGCTTTTGAAAAAGTAGACACGCAATTAAAGGTTTTTAAAAGAAACAATTACAAAGAATACAAGAGCATTGGTAACGATGTCTTTTTGGCAGTAACTTCTGAGGGTTTGATACAAGTAACCCCGCTGAGCTGTGAATGTCTTTTTAGAAAATCTACACAGTTGCCTTGTAGGCATATTTTTAACTGTAGGTCTAAATTATCATTACCTTTATTTGATGTTAATTTGCCTAAGTAGATGGAGTCGATCGTATTGTGCTAATATTTTAGAAAAATTTGAAATCAACAAAAATATAACTGATCAAGGCTTATGTGCAGAAACTGAAGTTATGCTTTCGACTGATTATAATAAAGATGACATACAAGTAGCACAATTAAAAGGTACAAGGCCCAAATATTTTACCAATCACGCTAAATTTAAGCTTATGGACGATCAAGGCAAAAAAATGGCTCAGTTATGTAGTGAGGTATCCACTCCAGTTTTTCGTGAGAGATTAAAAATTATTCAATCTGTCATAAGGCTTTGGGAAGAAGGGCAAGATGAAATTTTGAAGGGCATTTTTAAAAACAATTTAATGAAAAGTAGCGAACTTATTGATAGTAATGTTATAACAAATTGTGATGAACAAGACTATCTGACTACTATCATTCAAGTAGAAGAAACTATCGATTTCCCACAGAGTGATAATGTAATAATTGAATGCATTGGATTTTCGAATAATGAAAAAGTAGAAGAAACTGTCGATATTCCACAGAATGACAATGTAATTATTGAATGCATTGGCTTTGTGAATAATGAAAAAGTTAACGAAGCAAGGGAAGATGAACTTCAGATTAGCGATCATGGTAACAAATTACTAACACCAAATGTGGATATATTGTCATTTTGTTATTTTTTAGTTCAACATATTGAAATGGATTCATCCATTCCAGAGGGTGCCGCAACAGGCTACGCCACTATTCTGCAAAATATCAAAATGCCGGCCAAGATTAATAAACGTGGGCGTCCAAAGGGTTATGGCAATACCGTAATTGGCCTTAAAAAAAGAAGCTTATTCCAAAAAAATAAACTAGTCTATTTTGTACCTGTACCTGCTATATTATATTTTATATTTATACCTTATACCTATTTAATAATGTACGTATTTTGTTTTTGTTAAAAGCCTAAGGCATTAATAATTATTATTGCAATAAATTTTGATTTTTGTTTCTAATTTTAATTAAACCTTTATAAAATATTTAGAAAATCATTTAAATAAAATGTAAAAACTACGTAGTTTTTGTCGCGGCAGACCATTGAGGTGCCATTGCCAGCCGCTGCTGGTAGCTCATTTAGATACCTTGCCGGCAGCCCTTTTAGTTGCCGTTGCCGGCAGCTCTTTCAGTTGCCGTTGCCGGCAGCCCTTTCAGTTGCCGGTGCCGGCAGCAGAGGCACGGCCTAATTATTAATATATTAATAAATGTGTGTAGTTGGCCGATTTTTCTGAATTTCCCGGGCCGGTCTGATATAGCCAGCACGCCCCTGTTTGATACTATAAATACACAAACTCACACAAATATATCGCTGTGGTCGTTTAATGTATATTTTATTTTAATTTATTAATGGTATAACATAATTTAAACCACATTTCGAAAATAACAGTAACAATAAAAATAATATGGTAATTTGCTTTTTGTAAACAAAATAAGTTTTAATATAAAAATTATAATTATAATACTTAGTAAACAAGAAGATTGAGTTTATTTTTGTTGTTGTACCATTAGTAAACAAAAGAGTTGTATAAAGGCCTTGATCTTAATAATAACCTTCGGGCTCTTCTCTTGTTCTTATTTGTTCGAAAACAGCAAAATCCTGATTTTCCACTTTTGATGCTACGTACATATCTTCGGGATCAAAGGCACCAAAATCCGCCAATCTTTCCTTTATTTTATCTATACATTCGATCCTAAAAATAGTATAATTAAGAATGTTTTGCTTGTAGAAAATTATAGATTATAAATTACCTGTCTCTTGCAGGGATGCAAACAATTTTGGCTGAACTTTTTGTGTCTGATTTAACCATTTCCTTACATAACTCAATAAAATGATTTGGTACACACATTTTATCTATAAAATTAATTGATTTTAGTTTTTTTTATTTTTTTATAAGTACTTTTCAAAGTTTAAAACAAAAGCAAATTTCGAAGCCTGATTGAATAAAGAAGTAAATTAACAGTTTCTTAAGTGGAAAACTTTAATTTACATAACTTATCTTTTAATAAAAACAAACCAACAAGAATAATTGCTAATATCAATTAAAAGTTTTATCATAATTATTATAATATTATTATTAATATTAGTTTTAATTGATATTTTAGTAAAATTTAATATCAATCAAAACTAATTATTTTATCATAGATACCATAGTAATATCGTAGTTAATAGCTATTTACATGACATGGGAGGAAAATAGTGCTTTTCCTCCGGCGAATAGTTTGATCCCATTCGCGAATCGAAGGGCATTAAATATTTAAGGGAGGAAACGCATTTTCCTTCTGAGGTATGTATATAGTTTTTTCTATTACCTTTAACGGTTTTAAAACATTTGAAGCGTTCCGGTTCGTTTTACTAACCCGGTATGGGGCTATAAAATTATGACAAAATATTAAGTAGGTGTTGCGTCGCCGACGTTATGTTGACATCGCTTTGTTGCTATGGTATTTTTGGTAATACAAACATAACAGTTTTTATAAGCTGTCAGAATGTGTATCATAAATTTGAAATTCTTCCTACGTTTTGAAAATGAGTTCTAGCGAAGAAGACCTGCCGCAAGAATAGTTGCAATTAAGTTCCTTCCTTAAAAATCGAAAGAGCGATATAAAAATGAATACCTACATATAGTTTGTTAAAAGAATGGTTGGACAAGCGCGGAGTAAATATTTTTCCTACAAAATCAAATAGGGCTAGGCAAGGTACAAAAACTCTTGCTAATGTAAAATTGTTAAAAAAAAGTGAGAGGAAATTTTTTTCCTCCCGGGGAGGAAAAGTGGCATTTTCCTCCCTCGCTCTGGGGTGGAAAATGAAGTTTTCTAGTAAGGTAGTAGAAAAAATAAGTTTTATATTAGTATGGTTACGCATTTTATCACAGCGACAATATTTTTGATCACCTTGCTAAGGATTTTCACACTTTTCTTTATTTGACATTTGTTGACATTTAAATACTGTGTTTGTTAAATGATTAAAATAATAAATAATAAACTCTAAAAGATCGATGGGTTGGTGTAAACGATAATAAAATTAAGGTAAGTTTGAATAAATAAGCTTTATTAAAGTCTTTTTATATTTTAAAGCACATTTTAATTTCAAATGTCAAACTGACAATTCTTTAAATCCTAAAATTCATTATATTTTTTAAATATAACTCGTGGTATGATTAATAATCGATAATATTAACTCATTAAAACCGAAGCAGCACATTTCACTCGTCCTGCGGACTCGTGAAATCTGCAGCTCGGTTTCAATTCGAAAATATCATCGATGATAATCATACCACTTGTTAAATTATGGGTAAAAATATTTCTTTAATTCAATTCAACTTGCTTTAAAATAAGAATATATATTTTCATTAAAAATATTTAACTACCTATAAAAAGAATTTTGTATTTTTGGAAATATTCTAATATTAAGAAACATTTCTTGTTTTAAAAAGTTTCAATACAAATATTAAATCTTACTTGGTTTCTTGGTACAATTGTTAATATTTTTTTATATCAAAAATTAGATATTCTTAATTTTTTTATTTGTTTAATTTTTTTATATTAGGTAAAAATTGAATATTCTTAAATTTTTTAGTCCTTTTTATAAACAGTATTTCCTTTTGCCAAGAATACATATTTTTTAAATCGTGTAGGTTCACCCTAGTAGGGTGGGGATGCCGACACGTTCCTCTTAAATTTTATGCCTAATCATGCAGTGTTTTTTTTCTTTTTATGAGCAAGAGGCGTATTTCATTAAAAAAATTATTAGAAGAGTGGTCAGCATTTACGTGTAGTTAGGTAGGTTTATTGTTTAGATATTTACTTATATGCATTAAGGATGCCTTAAAATTATTTTATTCAGAAATAAATAGGCTTTGCAGTAATATCCAAAATATCTTATGTGTTTAAACTCTGATTTGTATGGCTCTATATTTTTATATTATAAAATTAATTTATTTTATGACATTTAAAAACATTTTGTTTTAGAAGTAATTTTGTTACACACTTTGGGGTATAACATTAATTTTGATTCATATAGGGTGGAGTTTATTGGAAATATCCCCAAATTATTTATTAAAATTTGTAATTGCTATTCTACTATGCCCAAAATATTACAAATTATTTCAAATAAAAAATATGTCGATAATAATGATTAAGTTCCCTACGTTAATTTATAATAATGTATACATTTTAGATTTTTCTTCCATTAAAAACAAATTAAATGTGCCTGTTCAACGTTTGCTTTTTTATTTTCTAACCTAAATTTTAAATCCTAAAATTCATTATATTTTCTCACTAAATATAACTCGTGGCATGATTATTAATCGATAATATATCATCGATGATAATCATACCACTTGTTATAGGTATTATGGGTGAAAATATTTTTTTAATTTAAGTCAACTTGCTTTAAAATAAGAATTATATATTTAACTACTTTAAAAAAGAATTTTGTATTTTTGGAAATATTCTAATATTAAAAAACATTTCTTGTTTTAAAAATTTCAATACAATATTTTTAAAATGGCAAATTTAAAATTATATGTACCACACATTTTTGTTCAAAAAATTCTTTTGTGATGATTAACCCCAAAAGAAAAATATTTACTTATAAAAACATATAAAATTAGTCGTTTATTTGGTTTGGACATTCGAAAATTGTCTTAAAACGTAGCCTTAACTAGCTATTTCAGTTATAGAAACATGGGGTATATTGAAAATATTCTATATTCGTAATCAGCGTGAAATCAGAATTTTGCCCAATCCCACTACAGACTCGAACCACTGTGTATCGTCACCGCTGCAAAATATCCCCACTTTTTTAAGGCGACCGGATGCACTCGGCACTGTATAATTTTAGTTTGGCTTTGAAATTCAAAAAAATAAGAGTTATGTAACATACCCAAATTTGACCAAATTTGGACAACTTACATTTTTAATCGCTTGGCGTGAAATGTTCTATAAATTTATTAAAAGCATTCTTGGGGGCACCTCTTAATATTAATATCAAAGACTTGGACCCGCACCCAAAATTTCATTAACACCCTATAATTAAGGACGACCCTGCAGGGTCAAATATGGAACATTATTTCAAACGCGTTGATAATAATTTTTAAAATTGTTCTCCTAGAAAATTATACTTTTTTAGATGTGTCACTTTTCTTTTGTACGTGAACATTTTCTCTGAATTTACAGAAGGGCATAAAATGAAAATATTTTATTAGATGAAAAACAATCTTAATTTAAATGAAAATATTAAATTACAGGTAATTTACACCATGTTATTGAAAACATCAATATTCTTTTCATACGATTTTGCTACTCTGCATAAACAGTAGGTATTAATTCCCATTGTTCAACAGCGATATGATTTACCAATCTACCTTGAAAAAAGTTAATTTCAAAAATATTTAGGATGTCACAAAATAAATCCACCAACTAGTTATAGGAGTGATCTTAAGTATTAAAAATACGTTTCTTGCAAGTAGTTTAAGAAAAATTTATTAAGCATGCATGCATGAATGCATGCAATGCATTTATGTTTTAAAAATTTGACAACCCACCTTTTAGGTGTTTAGTTAAAATAATTTACATAGTAAAATATATTTAATAATGGCTTTAATACTTCTGGTATTAAACATCACAATTTAATTACGATACAATTTTAAACGATTAAATTTTTTTATCGATCCTTAATTAAGAGTTTAAATCTTTTTTTCATCCCTTCTTAGAACGGAATGGATTTTGCAATAGTCTATTTACCTTTGTTTTGGTTTTTATGATATAGATAGGTACTAAATAAATACTTATCCAAAAAAATTTAGACTTGTCTATCTATTCTATAAAATTGTAATCTGAATCACTGTGTGGCATTTATTCTTATCATAACTGTTCACTTCGAAAGTCTTTAAATCAAATGCGCATTAAAAAGTTTCCACTTACATTCGTTTTGAGCGGCTCTCCTGTATCTCCAGGCGGTCGCAGCATCGGCTGTTAAGGCCGCCACCACAAAAATCCAAACTAAGAAGTTCATTTCACGTTTACAGCATTGACACGAAAGCCAATCCTCTACTGAGACAAACCACGACTTTTTCTTCTTATATACTTAAAACTTATCGTTAACTGGGATCCCCAGTATTGTAATAATTGCATTTTTTATTGCAATGACAAACAGAGATTGGACTAATTTTTAATTGATTAAAATATTATATACAGTGTGTCCGTAAAGTCCCGGAACATGTGATTATTTTGAAAACGGTAATTTTTTTTTAAAAACGCTGAAACACGCCAACTTTGATATTTTTCTAGCAATATTTTAGCATATGTAGTTGTTCCAAATTCTGCCGCGTGGCGGCGCCACAATCAAAGTCAGTTTTTTTTAAATTGCAACCCTTTATTTTTGTTGCATTTTTGGATAGCTACCGTTGTCCTGATTACATTGATGTGCCACATCTGGGGGGTTACATAAGAAAATTTTTGAGAAAATCAGGTTTTTGCTGCCGAATGAGATTTTGGTATTTTATCAAACTTACACAATCTATGCGTTGCTTAATGTTTTTTGGAAAGCCAATCAGAGCAGTTGCTCAAAGTGTCCACCGTAAACTATTTGGAAATGGAACAGCCTGTCTACAAACGAGCGTTGTACGTTTGCCAGTACCGCTGGAGTGATCATCTGGATCTCGGCTTGAATGCGGTGTCTTAGGTCGTCCAAATTTTAAGGCCTGTTTACATAGACGCGGTTTTTAAGAGGTCCCCATAAAAAGAAGTCTAAAGGGTTCAAATCGGGCGATCGCGCTGGCCACTCAATTTGACCCCTTTGACCTATCCAGCGATTGGGAAAGACCTGATTTAAATAATCCCTTACTAGCAATGCATAGTGCCCCGTAACAGCGAATAAGTTCGTCAAAACCAAAATCTTAATCAGCGGCAAAAACCTACTTTTCTCAAAAATTTTCTTATGTAACCCTCCACATGTAGCATATCAATGTACTCAGGACGACGGTAGCTATCCAAAAATGCAACAAAAATTAAGGGTTGTAATTTAAAAAAACCTTACTTCGATTGGGGCGCCGCCACGCGGCAGATTTTGGAACAGCTACATATGCTAAAATATTGCTAGAAAAATACCAAAGTTGACGTGTTTCAGCGTTTTTTTTTAAAAAATACCGTTTTCAAAATAATCACATGTTCCGGGACTTTACGGACACACTGTATATACTTATTAAAAATTATTGAAATTTATACAATTTTTAATTGAAATAGGTAGGTATAGGTATACAAAAAATATAATTAGTATTTTTTAAATAAAATCCGTGAATAAGCAATAAAACAAATGCAAATAGTTGCAACTTGATGTTAACTTTTTTTTAATCTATTAAACACAACTCGTTTGCCTTCTTTGTTAAAATGGTTTTTCATAATATCGTGTTGATGGTATATTATGTTTTAAGTTTAAAAACGTTATTTTAGACAGGAATTTATATTAGGCACAAGCAAGCTTGCAAGCGAGTGCTTAATTAAATAAGTGTCTAGAAAATTTTATAAGCCAGTTGTATACTATACTTTTTTTACGACAAATAGGTACTTATTATTATCTAAAAATGATTCAAATTAAATATTTGTTTATCGCGCCGGTGAAAATGTCAAATTTTTATTTGTTAATCGAAATCTATCCCTTAAAAATGGACCGTTTGATGAGATATAGAAGCAGTTTTTTACAGTTAAAGTAAAAAAAAATGTTTTATTTGCCCGGTGAAGTCTTTACCCGAAGTTAAGTTAAATATTTCATTAGGTTTTGGTAATCCATTTTTAGCAAGGTTTATGGAATGTTTAATTTTTAAAAAATAATGTATACTTCCTTGCTTGTGTGAAATTATTTATTTGCGACTACGGAGAAGCTATTTTATTCCACTATGAACATAATATAACATAAACCGTTGTATTAATTCTAGAATACAATCATTAATCCTGTTTTTTGCAGACCTATACTTGAAATGTGAGCGCTTCTAATAGCAATTCAGAAATTTTAAAAATTTCTAAAGATTTTGATTTTTTTTTAAATATAGAATTATCAAAATCGTACATAAAAAACTTTACTCTGCGGCGAGCTATGTGAATTATTGAAATTTTCTATACATATATATCGAGTCAAGATTGACAAAGTCAAGATTGACAAAGTTTTAAAAACAAAAATTAAGTCGCTTACATGAACGGTTACAGAAATATGAATTTTTATATTAGTAATTTCAATTTAAAATATAAACACATCCGTGAGGTTAGTTAACCGGTAAACTTTTAATTTAATTTTGCCAATAAAATAATATTATATTATATATTATATAGCGAAAAACAATCAAACAATCATTGTGTTAAAATATTTTTATTGATTTTTTATATTTGTTAAAAAAATCATCCTTGTATTTTAGAAAATTTTTATTCGGTATACTCTTAATTTATCTTTTTGACTTGTCGTAATAACCATTTTCTGTTGTAGTTACATATATGATTAATAAATTAATTGGTGATTTTAAAAAAAAATGTGTCCCAAAAATATTATTATTATTTGTTTGAATCTGCAACAGATTTTAGAAAAAATGATTTCTTGGCATTAAAAATTATTAATTTCTTTAAAAAATTGTCATATTTTGCAAAATATAATTTAAAAAGAATTTTAATTTCACACGCCGATTTTATTCCGCTGATTCGTTGTATTAATTCTAGAATACAATCTAAAATTCTGATTTTTTGCAGACTTATACTTGAAATGTGAGCGCTTCTAATAGCAATTTAGAAATTTTAAAAATTTCTAAAGATTTTGAAAAAAAAATTGCAATTTATAAATTCTATAGAATTATCAAAATCGTGCATGAAAAACTTTACTCTGGGGCGAGCTATGTGAATTGTTGAAAATTTATATACATATTTATCGAGTCAAATGTAGTCAAAACATTGACAAAGTTTAAAAAAAAAATTAAGTCGCTAACTTCAACGGTTGTAGAAATATGAATTTTTCAAATCCAAATGCGCGCTTGAATCATACATACACCTAACTGGAAACAAATTTTCAAACGCAAAAACGAAAAATCCACTGACGGCGCGAGCAGATTAGGCAAGACAGAGAAAGCATGTCGACAGGGTTTCGAATATCCGACCACTGCAAGAACCGAAATCGCTGTTCCTAGACAAAAACTTGTTTTTGTCTGGCCGCCGCTGTTGATTTCAGTGAAAAGAGGGGTAAGAAGCTCGAAGCGGGAGATCGGAATTTCAAACGAATACCCCTTATTTTATCATATTTTTAAGCTTGGAACATTGGTGGGTAGATGGCGACACCTTACGGACACATTTTCTTGTAAATTAATAATGATACGCCTGGCACATATCGTCCTATCACCTTGCGTCTCTTCCCAACTTCCTTACTCAATGGTTTTACCCTACAAGATCTACGGATACCGCCGAGGTTATTGACCAACTACAGAAGCAATCAGCTCTTTGGAAATCCCAAAAGAATAATTCCGGACCGAGGGACAGCATTTACATCACGCTTTTGAGGAATATTGCAAGGAAGAAAATATTGAGCATTCCTTAATAACCACTGGTGTACCTTGAGGCAACGGGCAGGTAGAAAGAGTGAATGGAACAATTATTCCTCTTCTCACCAAATTAGCCGCTCCGAATCCCGAAGATTGGTATAAATACGTAGAAAGTGCGCAACTATACTTGAATTATATTCCTAATCGTGCAACGGGAAAGGCTCCATTCCATTTATTATTTGGAGTGAATATGCGCATAAGGAAAGATTCGCAATTGCGCGAATTAGTGAACAATGAATGGATAACACGATTACAAGAAGAACGCAACGACCTGAGGGAATCGGCGAAAGAAAAAATTGTCAAGACGCAGTAAGAAAACCGGATCGTACGAGTAATGCGACACGATCGGTACAGTGTTGCTAAAGTCGGCGAACATGAAGGACCACAGGAGACGTCATCAGCCGCTAGCCAAATGAAATCGTGGCCCAGCTGCGACAAGGAAATTGATACCAGCGACGAAGAAACCGAAGACAACCTCTGAGGGCAAAGGTTATTTTGTAGGATGGCCGATTGTAGTATCTGTTTTTTGTCTAAATATTTAAGTTGTATATAATAAATTTTGTTTTGCCTGAGAAATATAATCCCTACATAATTTTGCTTTTAAGTAGGTATATTTTTAGTTTGTTTATGACAGGATAAGAGCAAGACAGGTCAAATGTTGGAATTCCTCGGGGCAATCTGGCAATAACTGTGACGTAGAGGGAGAGAAAGTTTTCAGATGTGTAACGGGTACCTGCATTCAAAAAGAAGGACAGATTTTAAAGAGCCGTTGAGAACTGAAGACGTGTTTTAATTTTTAACCTTTTTACTATTTTTAATTAATGTGTAATATCATAGTCACTTGTAAATAAAACCGATTTACCATCATTGCTGATTATTTCCCTACATATATTTAATTAAATTACTTTAAAATTTGGAATTTTGGTCTTGGACGTATGGTCTAAATGTCTCTAAGTTTGTCCTAATCTGTGTCCCCAGGCAGTTTACGTCGTGTTTTCCAAACAATTTGTTGTCTATAATGTTAATTGTAAGTTCCCCCTTTTTTTGTTTAATTATTGTAGTGAATTTGTCCTTGATTATTTGCGTGTACTTATTAAAATGCGTTTTATTATTCCGTCTCGTTGATTGGTGCTTTATTCGTACCTGCTGTGGTATGTTTATCTTTTTTGTTTGGTTTGGTTTTATTGATTTAATTTGTTATTTTTTTTAGATTTATTAGGTTGGCGTGTCTTAATGGTTTAGTCGAGTTTGTTTGGGAAATCTTAATGTCTATGTTATGAATTGATTTATGGGTTGATGTCAAGCTAATGTTGCCTTATGAGACCATTGACGCCTGGTTGCCAGATGTGAATCTTGCAGTTTTGGATTAGAATTGAAATTTAAGTTTATGTTAGAATTTTAGTATATTTTTGTCATGTCATAAATTACTTATCTGAATTAGTGTCTTGATGATCTGCGGTCTGCCGCGGCACGCCGTTCTTTGATCTTGAC